TTCAACTATAGCTTCTGTAAATTGCTAGTTTTAGCACCAATTTCTATCACATAAGTGAAGCATAATAAAAACAAGGAAAATAAATAAACCATTTTAATATTTTTTGTGTTTTTTCTGAGTTTCAAATCTTTTTCCCATAAAAATTCTGCTTTTTCCGGATGTCTTGGTATTAAATGTTTATTGAAGAAGAAGAAAGAGAGGATATATAGTACATCTGGTCTTGATTCATTATGTTGACAGTAGACTTGTATGTTATTCTGCATTTTAGCACTCATTCTTGTCACAAGGGTCCAACAAAGCTGAATGCGATGAAGAAAGTATTTGTATCTTTAGTAAATGAATCCTTTGGACCATCAATATGCTCTGTCAGAGTACATTTTTCCATTCTTGTTGCTCTTCCAGGCATTTGTTGCATTAATTGATAGCTTCCTTCCCCAGTACCTTGTAGTTGAGTGCATGTAAGGCAGTAGCTGCAGTAGTTGTATTTTATACTCCTGAAATGCAGTTGCAAAATGAAATATAATATTCGGCATGGTGTTTTTATAGAGTATTTCAGTATATTTGTGGAGAAAATGCATCTGGAAATTGTGTGGCAGATTTCCAGATTTTACACTGTTTTGTCGGGCATGTGGTAGCGAAGTTGGATGAGGCACAATGCTTGTTCATGTCCCAATGAGGTGAATATTTTCGATTTGCCTAATCCTTCCAGCTGCACTATGGCCCTGAGGTCAACTCAGCCTCTAACAGAAATGAGTACCAGGTATCTTCCTNTTATTCGGCATGGTGTGTTTTTATAGAGTAATTCAATATATTTGTGGAGAAAATACATCTGGAAATTGTGTGGCAGATTTCCAGATTTTACACTGTTTTGTCGAGCATGTGGTAGCGAAGTTGGATGAGGCACAATGCTTGTTCATGTCCCAGTGAGGTGAATATTTTCGATTTGCCTAATCCTTCCAGCTGCACTATGGCCCTGAGGTCAACTCAGCCTCTAACAGAAATGAGTACCAGGTATCTTCCTGGGGGGTTAAGGGCAGCTGGCGCATAAGACTGATGGGCCATCTGTGAGCCAATTGTCTATAGAAGATGTGGGAACCTCCATATCTAACAATCCTATGGGCCTTCATGGCCTGTTACAGGGATAGCTTTACCTTTTTACCTTTTACACTGTTTTGTAGATCAACCACAGTGGAAAGGTTTCATACCACAGTCTTACGTGTTATGTCCAATGCCTAACAAATGCCATCTTTTCTCGCCAGGCTTCCTTCTTCGCCTTCCTTTCTTCCTTCTGCTTCCTCCTACTCTCCTCCATCTCTTCCTTTTCGATTTTTCTATCGGCCTCTGCCTTCGTCAGCATTTCGATTACTAGTTGAAGACCTTGCTTCTCCATTTTGTAGCAGTACGATACTCGATGCAAAATAATCCAATTATTTGTCAGGCGTGTTTAAGTTCGTAAAAATTCTGACACCAAATTGTCACGTGTCTTGAGATCGAATCTCGTCGGTCACGTGTGTAAGTCCAAATCCCACTTCTGACACCAATGTAACGTGTTTAGTTACAGAATACGCCATAGAGATCGTTAATTGGTTTATTTAACAACCTACAAGTAACGGCTACAATTAATTATCACAATGTTGCGGGTTTCCACACTTTACAAACCCTACAACCAAATCTCTTCACACTATCTTCAGTAGTCTTCACGTATTAATAACGCGGGAGCTATACAAGTCTCCCTAAATTACACACTTTCACTCGTAACACGCCGCTGGCTAGATTCCAACTCTGCTCGTAGGCTGCTGCCTTGAGAACTGTTGGTAACACACTGACCCGTCGGCTTGCTCGGAACTCTCAGAGGTAGCTTGAGGACTGTCTTCGGCGATGGCCACATTACAGCTGACTCGCAGCTGCTGTGCAGCTCACTTATATAGCCGCAGTGCTTGCCTGTTGCGTAATGAGTGCCACGTCATCCTGTTACGTCACCGCTGTTGACTCACGTTGCATAGCTACCAGGTTGCGAGGGCTCGGCTAACTTCGGCTCCGCTCGTGAGGTCACCGCTGGGAGAGTGGCGGGGTGATGACTCGCCTATTACGTGAGCGCTACTTTACCGCTACATGCCGCTGGGGAGGTAGTGGTCCTTCGTTGTGCAACATGTCACAATAGTTTGAATCTTGTGCTAGTGGGATAATTTATGCAGAATGGTCACTAAGTTGTATAGTTAATGCTTTGTAATTCATGCTAGCCTCATTATAAAGAATGAAGTATCTGAAGCAAAATGTTCTATAAATTTTTCCCAGTATTATAGCCAGGGCATGAAATTGACCACTCACCTCCATCTAGTGCCAAAGTAAAAAATATTAGTCTTACCTCCCCCTTTCATATGTTTTCATGTCATAGTGCTTAATTAATTAAGCACAGAGATGTTACCATTGTATCTTGATAATTACGTAGCTATATATAATCCTTATGTTCCCTTTTGTTTCTATATTTACAGTTTGAGAAAATGCTAGAACAAAGTGAGGTGAAAGAATTTCTCAATCACGTTGCACTCCGCCCCGTCACATGGTTATTGCTGAAGCTGTATACGTTTGTGTTTATGGGATACTGTCTGGTTCCATTTGTACTGCTATCGTATTCACGCTGGAATCATGTGTATGCATCTGTTTACTATTTTGGTCATTTTGTGTTCTTCCCTTGGCCAGTCTACTCACCGTTTGTGAGGAAACTGCTGAAGTTATGGAATCCAAGAAGAGCTCACCAAGAGTGAAAATATATGGCAGCATGATCTCGAAGGTATGATTCTCGTATGTATGAGAAAATACAGCGTGTTTACTTTTATAACAGTACCTGGACTTACTTGAGAATAACCTTTTAATGAAGCATAATTGTATTTTCAATCCAGGACTTACTCTTTATGTGGCTACTGGTCTTTTAAAATTAAGAATGGTTTGTCCCACTGATTTTAAACTTCAGACTTTATACATGCATTAAAAAAATACTAGGTACTGCCAGTGTTATGCATTTATATTTTTATTATGTTGTCTGTTTATGAGAGGTATTCATCCTACATAGCACAGTAAAATGGCCAGCAGAAAATTATGAATGTGACCTGTGATGGCATGCATCCTGTGACTGTGATGCATTCATAACATGTCCGGGGGTACCCATGGTTGACTGTGCTGTCTCTTAGGTTATGCTCAAGAAGTGGTCTTTCATGAGTTGAATTATGTCTTGTGAGGTCTCATATATGTACATCAGTGTACAAGTATGAGTGTGCTTCAATGACATGAACATTGAAGGTGTTTCAGGTCAGCTTTATGTATGGGAAATTAAAAATATCTCAGAACTTAATATTTGGGGATAAAGTATCCACAAGATAACCATATCTTCAAAGGCATTTCTTCCAAATTAGATCATTTGTATATCAATATTTCTTCATCATCATTTTAAGAATATCACAGAGATGATACAGTACTGTTAAAAAGAAATATATTGTACAGAGTTTAAATTTTTGGGGTATAAAATTACTTCTGATGAATTTTCACACAATTCATTTGAGTGGCATAAAATGAGACCAATGAAAATTTTACTGTTGTAGGATGGCATGTGAAATATGTCCATATGTGATGTGTAGAATGAGGTTATTATAACAGGGAGGGGAAAGAACATTGAAAGCATCAGGACTGAAACACAAAACATGCCCTTAATGTTGCAGTATAAGTATATTTTTATTGTTCAAAATTCTGCTGTGGTTTAAATATTTGAGTGATGGTACAAATGTTCATTTGCTTGCTATGGTCATTTTCCATTATCTCTGATAATTGTTTTGAAATAATTAAGTCTTATGTAACTGTCTTAGATACAGCAGCTTTTCATTGCCTCAGTTTTGCAATGACCATTGTATTTTGCTCCTAAACAAGTTCCAAAAATCAGAAGGTTCTCTTAATGCCAGTGTGGGATCACTGAACATTTTACTATACCTGATTGGTGAGTTGGTGAATTAATTGGCCAGGTTATGTTGTTGACTGTACCCATCCCATCTCATTTGCATTATTTTTGAAGTCTTTATAGCCATCTCAGCTTCCATTCTCTTCAGAGATTTGGTCATAGAAGTGGTGAAGGTGGGATGTAATATAGTGCAGTTGTTGCTTGTGAGTGAATGAGAACCCAGGTCTTCGTGGATATGGTTAAGTGAAGCAAAGGTGGGAAAAGCACTGCAGATATCAGAATGTAAATAAAAATCACTGATTGGTGACTGAATTTTAATATTCCACCTTCATATGTTGCAGTGGATGTTTCCACAAGCTTCAACTTAATATCACTGTGTAAAAGTAAAAGTAAAGCTATCCCTGTACCAGGCCATGAAGGCCCATAGGGTTGTGAGATGAGGGTCCCACATTATCTAGACAGTCGGCTCAAAGATGGCAGTAAAGTTGTCAGTCTTACGCACCGGCCGCACTTTACTCCCCAGGAAAATTATTTAATTAATTCCTAGTACTCATTTCTGTTAGAGGCTGAGTGGACCCCAGGGCCATAGTGCGGCTGGAAGGATTAGGCCAATTGAAAAAAAGCCAGTGACCTCATTGGCACATGAACCTGCGACCTTCCGGCTTGTAGCATAGCCCCTCAACCAACTATGATACTGCGTGCCTCCAATATCACTGTGTACAAAATAATATTTAGTTCACTTTCACAATATAAATACTGGCTAATGTATGATTTGAATTGAACCACAGTTGCATTGGTATTATGAATTAAGTTCAGTGTTTGGTCTAGCCAAAGTTAAGTCCTGCATTTGTATATGATGTTCGCGGATCTTTTATCTTAGAAATCTAGCAGCCCACTCACAGCATCTCTCGGGGGTCTTTGAATATCCTTCCATTCCAAGTTCAGGGATTGAAACTGTCATCCTCCTAACATGAATGTTGGTTCTTCCTTTGATTCATCAGTATGCAGTCTGTCTTATCATTTGTGAAGTAATGGGCAGTCTGGAGTTTTCAAGGCTTAAACTGCTGTCTTTGAAACTTGAATTGCCACATGATTAACCCTGAAGATGAAAATGAGAGCTCAGCCTTGTCCAGGAATGTGGCTAAAACACTGTGCTTCACTTAGGCAGTTTTCCTTATCAAGTCTGCTATTTCTCAATTTCCATTTCATTTGAATGAGAAAAATCAGCAGTCTCTAGATCTGACACTAAAGTTTTTGAATTGTTGGGATGCAAAAATTACTGCTATACCCTTCCTTTGAGGGTAGCAACATGTGGTGCTCTTTCTTGGCCAGAAGGCATCTGCATATCTTTTTACTTTGAAGAATTTTTTAAAAGAAGTAAAATCCATATTTCTCTATTTTTAGAGTACTGTGCCAAGCTTTAAAGGGGCTTATTCTGTTGTCTCCATGTAGAAGGTACTGTACAGCAGTACTGTGTGTCTTGCAAGGGTCTGACTGACCAGTAACAGGGCACATGCTATTTCAGATTCAGTGAAATCCGTGACAGAAATTCAGTCATATTATATACAATCTTCAGGTATCGTTCACCTTCATTCCTCATCAAAGATATTTGAACATCAGAATTTCAGCAATATACAGGGTGAAGATAAATCTTATTTGTGACTTCAGTGTAAAACAGTAAAAGAAATACAAAATGGTGTATTCGAGGTTTGCATCATCTGTGAAGGGAACTCGTAAAGTTGAACTGCTACTTGAAACGTGCCCAACATGGTCATCATTTGTTATATGGCTAAATGATATTCATAAAGTTGAACTGCTACTTGAAACGTACCCAATATGGTCATCATTTGTTATATGGCTAAATGATATTCATTTTCTCCCTTTGTGTGTTGCAGCTATCCAACATCAGCAGAGTGGGTCCAATTGATAAAGCTAGTTGCTATCTCAGGACTAGATTTATTGATTGGGCTCAACTGAGTAGGCCTTTTGCCTTGGGACAGAGGCAGTCCAGTCTCTAAAACAGTGTTTCAAAAAAAAAAAAATAGTAGGATGATGGATGATATCCAAAAAGTCAGTCATTGTATTAATATACCATGGTCACACACTTTTTCATTTTATCAGCATCAACAGGTTCAATGATAGGAGCACTTACGGCCTTAAAATCGTTGATATTGGCCACTGAGTTTAAGGCCTCATTTCCTCAAACTGAGGATAGAAGTACCCTGAAGCATACCTAGATAACTGATGGATATTGCCACCTTATCATCAAAGAGAGAAAGAACACATTGTTGTATGAATCCCACACCAGCGAGCAGTCACTATTGAATTTCCTCTAATGTGTTTGTGTATTGTGTCTTACATTTGTTTGTTTACCTCCCTGGCACATGAAATCGGTGTCCAACAACTGAAGTATGGAAATTTGCAAGTTTCACATATTTAAACTTTGAGTTCTTTCTCACAGATGGTGCAGACTGTAAGTTTATCTTTCTTGTATTTTTTTCATTCTTACATTAGAATTGTAAAGATAATTAGTGGCCATTCTGTCTTGTCTGGAATATCATCTATACTGATTAAAAGAAGTACTACAAGCTGGAAGGTCGCAGGTTCGATTCCCGTTGAGATTATTGGATTTTTCAGTTGACCTAATCCTTCCAGCTGTACTGTGGTCCTTGGGTCGACTCAGCCTCTAACAGAAATGAGTACCATGAATCTTCCTAGCAATAAAGGGTGGCCAGGGCATAAGGCTGGCACCTCACCACCATCTGTGATCCAGTTTTCTAGAAAATGTGGGATCCTTGACATCTTACAACCCTATTGGCCTTCACAGCTTGTTACAGGGATAGGTAGAGTTATCCCTGTGCTTAACTAATTAAGCACCATGCCATGAAGACATATGGGGGAGTGGATGTACTTTTTTTTTAACTCTTACTTTCTTTGAATGGTGGAAAGTGGAGGGGAGGGGGGCTGGCAAATGAGGATATTTAGAGGTTATGTTTATCATGTGAATAGATAGATCTTTCCTTGGCTCTGCATTGTTGCTATGGTGCTTATTCGCCCAGACTAATCACTTCATATAATTTATATGAAAAGAAAATATTCAGTGTAGTGATAGCTTCTCCTGCACATTTGTTGTGATTGTACTGAATGCAGACAGTAATGTCTATAAACATATGCCATATTTTGCCTTCCTGAAGAGCAAGCAGTACTACTTAAAAAGAAATAAAGAAGGTAGTCATTTGTAGACATACATAAATGTTTTATATTTTTTAGTTGTGAAACCATACATTATAGAATCACATTGGTTCAGTAATGTTTGTCTTAAACAGCAATCAGTGACACTTAATTATTAGGGAAAGCATTTCTAAGGTTGTAGGTATTGGTAGATTGGTTATGTTAATTGATATTTCTAAATATTAAAGAATTATATGAAAGCATTTAGTTTCAATTTTTTTCTCCTTAAAATGTTTATTGTAATTTATGGAAAATGAAATAGTGATCAAAAGAAACATCTTTCCATCTTAGGTAGTTTATAGTGCTGTCTCTGTTTAGAGTTATCTGTATTGAAAAACATGATACAGTTTCAGGAAATTATACCACAAAGTTGTGCTGTGTATTTTTTTCAAATTCACAACTCTTTGCATTAACAGTTTTTTGGTAGTTACATCTCTGATTATTGCTGTTCTAGAAAATTGAGTGTAATAAGAGGTCAAGGAATAAAAACTATTTTAATTTTAATGTTTTAGAAATATTGTATTTCTCAGTGTTGCTGAGTGAATATAGAAATTGTAGCACACAGTAAGCCAAAGCCATTCTGCTACAGGCCTTCCTTAACTATACAGAATTTA